GGCCTAAAAGTCATGAGAGCAAAAGCTTAGAAAACCACTGGTCTTAGTTTGGATGACGGGCACGATTAAATACTTTATAAACTGCGGTAACCTATTTAAGGGTTATTCCAGCGCTACAAATACATAATCGATCCGAACTTATCGCTCTTCGATATCGAAAGTCTCACTTTTATAAATATCGGAAGTTCAGTTATAATATTATCGAAGAACATCAAAAATTTCGTTGTACTATTACAGTATTGGCATTTTCAGCACTGTTTAAACCATTTTAACTATATACTAACCAAAAAAAAAAAAAAAAAAAAANAAAAAAAAAAAAAAAAAGCATCCACGTCACAGATTTTCAGCTCACATGCAAGTTTCTACAAAGTTAATGCCACACAAAAAGCGCATTTTTTACATGAACACATACACCGCCACTCGCCTATAGCTGTGAACTTGATGCACGCTCACCTCTTGTGAGGATATCGCTTTCATTTTGTCGTCGTTTTTTATTCGATTTTTGTTTTGGTAATGTCGTCATCATTATTTCATTACCATATAGCAAGGCTGCCGCCCGCCAGACACTCAAAAAGTTATAGCATGCATATACTTGTATGTATGTAGCCCGAGCACCCACGCAAGTGTAACGGTACATACAAGTATAACGGCACATGTGTAGCCAACACCATTTTTCAAATAGTCCTTCGCTCATTTTCCTGTTCGCACGATTTTGTTATCTTTTTCATTCGCTTTACTTCGCGCCAGCCATACATCTTATGTGCTACACTAGGTTTTGTCAGCGTCTTTTGTTGTTGTTGGCGCGCTTTTTGCGAACGGAAAAATTTTGTGATTCATGCTTAAAAGTTTAGCGCTTGGCTTTATAGCGCGAACCATGTCATATGCTGCTTTTGTGTGGGTGTTTAAAAGTGTGTGAGTGGAATTGGTAGTACGGGTCCGACTTTTTAATTCGGTTAAGTGAATCATTTCAATTTGTTGGATTGAACTTGAGAGGTGGAATAATTTAAATGTCGCTTAAGAAAAACAGCTCACACCCTCGTTGAATTGTCGAGCGCTTACTATATATTGTGGGTAGTCCATGTCATCCTCTTGGTCAGTTCGAAAATTTAAAGATAGTTTTCATTAATATTAAGAAGTGTTAAAGAATTTTGGAAGACTGCGAAAAATATACATATAAGTCTCAGAAAGTAGTTCGAATTGCATCTGTCTTCAGGGTACTCTAGTTACTGTTGGAGGCATCCGGACTTTTTCGAAAATAATCTCGTAAAACTGGCTCAGGGGACCATCCGCAAAATTACGTTTCAACATTCAAATAGAAATGGAGAGTTTCTATAATTCTATTTGGGATACATCCTTACGTCCAGGATGTATGAGAATATTTATAAAGTTAGGCTGACCTCTACTAATGTTCTACATATGTATTAGAACTTGAGAATTACTACTGTTTTTTTTGGTTTTCGGAGGGGAAATTTTCAACGAATCCCGACGATATGTACGACTCGTATTGGCCGCGCTAAACATACACCTCCTTTGGAACCATGAGAAAGCAGGACTTGCGGCACAGTACACCTACGCCTAAAAACCTTGAACTCCGCCGTCATTGCTTGTATTCGACTCACTGGACTGCCATTAGTTATTACATCGTGGGGCCTACCTGAGCCTTTCAGCTCTTCAGTCACGCATTTTCGCCGGTATATCCCTCTGTGAGGAAATTATTTGGACAAATGTGTACTGAGATTGGAATTAGAAATTCTGATCATAAAAGAGTGACGTTAGATAGGTTTTCCAGATTTATCCGAGCTTAAGTCCTCCAAAGCAATTGGAGAGGGATCGAGTAATTTTTACACGAAGGCGTAGAACTTAGAGGTTTGAAACCTATTTAGAAATAATTTTTTGTTCTTCATTTGACTATCCAAACGAACTGGACGGAGAACTGGAAGGGACTAACCATGGGTCATCAATTTTTGCAACGTCCTGTTTTGATTTAAACACATGACTGAGCGTTGATCTACTTTCCTGTGGACAAGAATAAACTGTATGTAATGGCGCAGGAAAAGTCTATAAAAACGCGGAATATAAGCATTGCGTTGTCCAACCCGGAGAAACAGTGACCATCTCATTGAATATGAGAGTACGGTTAGATTGTCCACAGGCCAACAACACTTCTCAGCTAATTGTAACAGTTAGTTGCAACTCATCAGCATATGGTTAACAGACCACAACCGAAGCGCCATAGCCGCGCAATCGCCACAAAGCTAACCCGACGGCATCGTCCTCGCTGCAGTTGCCGCCAACAAGTTAATGCACTGTTGGACAGAATTGAGAACAACAAGCTCTTATATATATAAGCAACTAATAGTTTTGTTTGTATAGGTATGCGGTTGGTATTGTTATTGGCTAGTTATTTGGTTAACGCGCATGGCTTGCCGAGTGGCGCAGCTAGAGTGTGTTCTGACTTGTCGCTGTAACTCGCAATTTATAGCAGAGCGAGTGATAAAGATTAAGTAGGTGCACCAAGTTGTCCATGGTCACGTTTTGTGGAGTTAGCTATTTTTCTTTCCTGCTGAAACAATTTCCGTAAGAACGGTGAAAATATTTATCGCTTATTTGATGCATCTCCTTGACTAAAAGTCTCCAAATCTGCTAAAGTATGCGGGTTTTCATACCTTTTTCTTTATAATTGATTCTCAAGTAAATATGTGCTTTATAGACGGAAAAACCTTAGACCCAACAATGCAACTGATTCTTTTGTTGTGAATCAAAATATGTACTTATTCTTCGACATAATCGACAGCATCGGCATTTTTTTAACCGTTGTTGGGAATTAAATTTGGGAAGTACGGTGGACCGAAGGGGTTTTGGTCTAACCGAGAGAAGGTTGTGATACGATTATCCTGGTCTATTTAAAATTAACATTTTTTTCTTATCTTTTTATCTTATAATAACGATAACTAAAATATTGTTAAAACTTCGTGACATTTCATCCATTCGTACTTCAGTCATTGGTCTCAAAGTGATCGAACCATTGCTATTTTGGTGAAAATGTAAAAAAGTCACTTTCGTTTTGCTCGAGATCTCGTTCAGAAAGCATACGGAGGGTTGAAACGTCCAAAAATTTCGCGAAAAATCAAAAAATATTTTGGTTAGCATTATTGGCATATTAAAGAGATGAAGCGAGCCAATCATTCCTAAGTTTTTTATAAATGAAAAAATTTTCCGCGTGATGGTTGTAGCGTTATTGAACATAGATAAACTCTCTGGTCCATTGAGATGGTGATAGGACCGATAAAATCTTAACATTACTTTATGAAGTAATTCTTCATAATGCGACTATTTCCTCTCCCCAGGCCGAAAAAAAAACTCGCCCAAATGAGAAGGCCAAGGGTAAAAAAGGAATGTCTACTTTGACGATCTTGCTGTATTGCACTATCGGACCTGACCCAAAAAATTGGACAATCGTTAGAATGACTGGATTGAGAATAAAACAAAATTTTTACTCAAGAAAAACGTTGACGTATGAATGCATTTTAATTGATGAAATCGTTCAAGTACGGCAACTTTTGTTGCGGACAAATATAGTTCTTTGGTGAAATGTAAACCAAGCAGCAATCAAGGCAGTAACTAACTTCGTATCGCATATAGGCCATAAGTGTCTTGGATAACAGGGCAGCAGTGGAAAACAACTTCACTTCTACTGGGTGCCAGGCCACAAAGTCACCGAGGGCAATGAAATAGTGGATGAACATTGGGAAAGCCTTGAATTGTCTTTACGACCATCTTGACAGTAGCATGTTAAAGGGAATTAAGACGCAAAGAAACGAGCTACCGAGCTAACTGTACACCAGAAGAGAAGACTGCAGGAAATGTCTAAAGCGGGACATCAGGAAAACAATGGAACATCTCTTATGCATTTGCCCCGCATTGGCAAGACTACGCTGTAAGTCGCTGTAAGTATTAAGGGTCTCCACCCACTGGAGGAGGTCAAGCATCAAGCGCAGTCATCCTAAATGATTACTATTCTTCTTGCACTTAGCAACTGAACTCCATCTGATATCGCAAAGAACCAAACTGGTCCAATGTGACTAATTTTCGAGAAAGCCGTATCAGAAAGAAGAGAGAAAGAGAGTACAGAGTCATATTGGCAATGAACAACATAAGTTGCCCTGTGTGAACACAGTGATAAGCGACTGAAGTGGAGAACAACAACAATAAAAAAGACATTAACACCAAAAAACAACAAACAACAGCAAAAACACACCAACAATGATAGTAAAAAAAAAAAAAAATAAAAAAAAAAAAAACAATTCAAATTGAATACCGCTTTCTGTGTTTGTTGTTGTTTTGTTTTGCTACCACAGCTAGTTTTATCCATTGGGCTTGTGACCAACACTCGCTGGCATATTGACGGCTTATACTGCCCACACTACTTGCCACAGCTCGTCGCCTTTTTGCAGAATAATAAATGTTGCTGCTGCTGCTGCGCACTGACTTCTGCTCGGCTGCTGTTATTTCACACTGCCGCTGTTGCTGATGCCGCTTCATGTGCTTTTCTTGCTGCTGGTGCTTCTTTGTGTCAGCTTGTTTCCATTATCAACGCTGTCTGTGTTGCTATTTTATGTTTGTGTTAGCTGAACAGGACATGTTAACCAATACACGCACACTTGAACTCACACATACACACTTAAAGGTTGTTTATGGCGAAAGCGAAATCAATTTTGCGAACGAAAGTGTTGTATTTTGTGGAGCAACATCGCACATCCTTTCGTTTCTCGGCACTTCTTTGTCCAACTAACCGACCAAAACCGAGTCTTGCTAACACAGTCGCCCCCCCTCCAGTCCCTACGTTGCGGCCACTAGCTCACCAGCGCTGTCGTCACTGTCGCCACTGCTGCTGTTGCGCCATTATTGTTGGCATTGTCATCGCTGTACAGCGTTGACTTCTCGCCTATAAATACAAATGTTCTGGCCAGAATGTGGCTTAAAGCGACACAGTTCTCATAGACGTAATCTACGCCGCGTGCAACACAACCGAGCGTTAGCCAAAGTGTAGAAAGTATATAGAGTGTGTATAAAAATTGTGGAAAAAATAAGCGTTGCTACATTTTTAATTTGTGCAAGTGCTACTAATTCGATTACAAAGTAACTGACACGATTTTATGGCACAACGGCAATAACGGTCGCAACTTTTAAATTGCCATTAAAAAGTGAATCTCTGGAGAAGTAAGTGCATTAAAGTGACGATGGCTTTAAATTAAACCGTTAATTCGAATAGCGGACAGCTTGTAAGTGTTGAGTGATTTGATTTGATTGAATGGTGAATCGTTAAGGTGGAGCATATTTGAACGTAAATTTTATTTATTATGCAAAAGGACTGAATGTTAGGGATGCCAGTGAGAGTATTCTGGAAAAAATACTTTTAATTTATAATTGAATTATTGATGGATATTTTTTATGCAATTAAAGAACTTCTTGTTAGTTTCGAGAGCCTCAATCGTTGTAAGAATTACAAAACAAACAAAAAAAAAAAATGTTTTTGAAAACAACGCCTTTATGTACAGTTTTGAAATTAAATAATGGTTTTGAAGCATATGAGAGGTGTCTTTTTAAGAAAAATTAATATTTAATGATTATTATATTTGGTGTAATAGTTTTGATGACTATATTTTATCGAAAAGATAGTTCATTAATTTCATAACAGTAAATATTCATATACATTTTGACAAAAAAGTATCCCGAAGTTGTAAATAAAACGTAAAATATTTGATTCGTCATCAATATTTAGTTTAGTTATCTCCATCAGGTGTAAATACATGGTAGTTATATTGACCGTCTGTTCCTTCGGAACGAATAAATGATGCCAAAATATCGAAAAAAACAATAAGCATAGCCTTGCTTCTTGAGCGGCTTTGGCATGGCTTTTTTGGTCTCTACTAATTTTTTCTCTGCATTCAGACGATTGGTGACTTACTTGCATGTCAAACTCATAAAACATGCCATGTCTCATCGGCAGTTTTAATGTTGTCCATGAATTCGTATGATCAAGCATGTCACAGAAACCTGTCTACGGTACTAGTTAAAAAAAAAATATCAGCTTTATCGGGACGTGTCGAGCAAGAACGCATTTCCCAAATATCCACTAAAATCAACATGAACAGAGTCGTGAGTGATGTCGAGCTCTCTTCTAATACTTGACTGAAGATTTTCAAACACCATATCCTTCACTTTTCCAATATATTCAATAGTTGAAGAGTCGAAGGTCATCGAAAACGGGGTATGTTTTCAACGATCTCTCGATCTCCCATCCTTGAAAGATTTGTACCACACGTAGGCTTGTGTTTTTGAGAAAAACTGAATCACCGTGAGTCTTTTAGTAAATATTTCGTAAAACCTTCTAATAACCAAAATATCAATTTTAAAGGCAAGAGGTCTAGTGGAAATCAGTTATTCACCATAGCGGGGGTTAACGAAAAACGTTCATACCTGATTACGTTCATTAAAAAAAAACTTCGGTAAAACATATCTCTAACATTAATTGCTCCTAAAGGGCACAGATCAAAGACAAAGATTGGTGCGAAAATATGATATTTAAAACGAATGGAGAGGGACTTTGGAGCTAGAACTCCTAAATAGTAAAATAATACTATATATAGATATATTGCACCCTTTTCAAAGTCGTTTTTTTATATCAAAATAAAAAAATAAGAAATAGTGTTAATTTCTGTTGCAGCGAAACTATAATACCCTCCACAGGTGCATAAACGGTTAGGGCAAAATATTTATATTCCGATTTCGATGGATCAAATTGATTGGCAGTATAGTTGTCCCGATTTGAACAATATATTCGGTGATTGTAGCAATACCTAAAATAATAATCTGTGTCAAATTTCGCGAAGATAGCTTGTTAATTCAAAAGGTTTTCCCTTTAAGGTTCTGAGTTTAATCGGTCAGTTTGAATGCCAACTAAACGTCCAATCTGAACAGTTTATTTGGATGGGGTATCGATGTGTAAAACAATTCACTATACCAAATTTTGAGAAGATATCTTTCAATACGAGGACTTGAGTTTGTCCGATCAGTTTATATGGCAGCTTTATGCTACAGGCTCTGATGGCAGTAGTTCCGACAAAGGAGCAGCTTGTTGGTGAGAACGAGACGTGTGTACATATTAAAAACGGAAAAGCTAGGTCAGACATATACAGACGGACTTGGCTAAATCGACTCAGCTCGTCACGCTGATCACTTATAAATATGTATATTATATAGGCTCACCTACCTATCCTTTTGGGTGTTACAAACTTTGTGACAAACTTACTACCTGTTCAGGGCATAAATATTGAAGGAGGTTTTCGAGATAAAAATATATTTAAGGCATTAAAGGGCTCGAAACAATACTTTTGCTTAACTCATTTTATACTTGTCCATAAGCTGAATCCAAAAAAAAAAAAAAAAAAAAAAAAACTGGTACATTCCTATGTTGAGAGACTAGTTTAATAGAGCCAGTGTCTTTTTAGGACACACGTCTTGTATCTTTTTTATTTATTCTTTTACATCAAGGTAAAGTTAGGTTCCCTACCGGCAAATCTTAACACTTGAAACGGAAATAAATTTTCATTTGAAGACGATATTTGTTATTACTTGATTAATTACTTGAGCAGATAGTGCCGAGGAAAGAGCGGAGAGGTGTTCAATTTTAGTTTCGTAAAAGCAAGACAGTTAAGGGCGAAGTGCAATAATAGTTCGAATGGGAGTAAGCAACATTTTTACCTGTACCTCTTAGGAATCAATAGGCCAGTGATCAATAATGGCACTTATAGTTAGATAATTATATGCCCTACTGAGCACAGACAGTTCTTTAGATCACTTTTAATTTATTTCGGAACAGCATAAATTTGCTACGTGGAAGTGGAAGTATTGCTTGTCCAATCGTTGCTAAGATCGCGTGAGCTGCAGCTGTGCCGGAATAAACAAAAAGGCGAGCGTCTTTCGCTTTTGAAATTTATAATTCTCATTTGTATCACATCCCTTAATTGAGTTAATTATAATGTAATACGTACATTATGGTATACTATACTCCCAGTTAACCTGGAGTTGTGTCAATTAAAATGAAGCACTCTCTGCGAGGCTTTTTAACAGATATGGAACTTCCGGGAATCTTTTTTTCGCCATTTTCAATAATAAATATGGTTTTTTTGAAAACCCATTTATTTAAACACTTTTTAGATTTCCATTTCATTTAAAACAGTATAAATTTGAGTTAAGTTTATTAAGAAAAATATGTAAAGTTTCCTCAAAGCGTCGATTCTATCAATTTCTTATTCGAAAATACCTTCTACTTGATACGGAAAATAGAAACTATTATATCTTTTTTTTCTCTTCAAACATCATACTCGGTTACACTGGAACTTTAGTACAAAAAAATTTAACTTTTATAACAAAGAAAGTAAGCAGCATATAAAATCGAGTGGATTTTAACATTCTAGGCGATCAGTAAAATGAGCTGTATAGTATATGTGGTCAGGTTAAAGAAAATAGTTTTGAGAAAAATGGTTAAGGTGCTTATTAATGAGCAATTTATGAACTTTTCCAACATTTAAATAATGTTTTGCATACTTGAAGATTCTTAGTATGTTTTTGAGCTAAAAGAACTTAATCATTCATTAATAGTATGTTAATAAATTCGCATATACTTGAATTTAAAAAACATTCAACTGCCTAATTTTAGGGAACCTCTAAAGCATTTATTAGCTTTATCGACTAGTAAGAAAATTAAGATTCTTCAGTAGCAATAAATGGTTGCATCGAAAATTTGAAAGTGGCGTAATAGCCTTCTCGAAATTAATTGATAAACTAATCGACTTTTGCTCGATTAAAGCATGAATTTAGATCGATTTAACAGTAAAAATATTTTATTTTAAATTTGTTTACTTATTTTTTAATTTCCAAAAATCGAATTTAATACATTAATACTTAATTGCACTCAAATCGAGTTGAAAGTGGAATGCAGCTCATCGGGTTGTTGTCCCCAATGTAAAATTGGCTCTGTTTAACTCTGCGGGTTGTTGTCCAGGTTGTAAATTCGGTTGCGGGCATTGATAAAATAACAATAAGTTTATGATGAATGATTTTTAATCAATAGAAACAATGAAAAATTAAGAACACAAACAAATATGACAGATGTGAATGCGAAAAGATATTAGTAATAGCCAATTTTACTTTTAAATATATTCAGAGACTTTTCGAAGTTCTTGTTAGCTTTAAGCTTTGATAAGAAAAAATTTTCAGTTTTTATCCTTAAACTAAAAAAATATTTGTTTGAAGATTTCGGACTATGCTAACCACTTAATTGCTCAATTAGTAGATTTACATAATTCTCCAATTGACAAAAGGGTTGTCGGAAACTTTTTCTCGAACTATAGTTTTATTAAGGAAATTTTTTCGCTTTCGTTCGAATATTTCTTGAAAAGCCGAACTCATACACATACATTAATACATAGTACATATATGTCATCTGGATTCATCATAATTTCGCCACAATAGTGCGCTGCCTGTTGGCCCTTGTAACCCTACAGATCGCAGAATTATATTGAATAAATGTATGAACATATCATATGATACACTTATACATATGTAGGTAATCATGAATTTATTTTGTATCCCATTTAAATACTACATTTTTGTCACGCACCGCAAACATACACACACGCCTCTTTCTTACAACATGCCTCAAGCCATACAACCTGCAGTTATTTAATCAAACACTCCACTATAATACAGTTACCCGCATAAATAAAAGTAAAAAAAAAAAAATTTTCGCGCTCTTTTGTCGTGGTGGCAGTTATAATTACCACGCTAATTAAAAAGTCTAAGTACATTCGAGCAGGGTGGCAACTGCGCATCTGCATAAATGCATATGGATGGTTGCTTTGCCGGCTTGATGAAATGTCGTTACAACAACAATAAAAACAGCAAACACGCTTCGGAGTCACCTATTTACAAGCATGCACCCCGCATGACAAAATAGCATGCGAATACAAACATTATGCTTTAATTATCTGATTCCAAACAAAACTAAAAATTCAAAAAACAACAAAAAAAGTTCAAAACAAAAAAAAAAAAAACGTGAAAAATTAAAACGCTCGTTGGTAACTGCTTTCGTAATGTTCACTGGAGTGCTGTGATTTTAATTGAAAAGCACTGGCAACAGCCAACACAGTGTTTTT